TTACCCTGCTTGCCTCAGTTTCCTCATCTGTAAAATAAGCTGGAGAAGAAAATGGCCAACCGCTCCAGGATCTCTGCCAAGAAAACCCCAAATGGAGTAACAAAGAATTGGACACAACTGAAAATGACTGAACAGCAAAATGATCCCCCAGTCCTTGGTTGAAGGGGCACTGAGCAAATTACGACAACTCGTATGCATTCTATTTTAGAGACACCAGAGTGAAGGAAGAAAAAAGGTAATTCTAAGAGAGAGATCTAGGCATTAAATGATCACGAGAACGCTTTCTGGTACAGTGACACGCTGAAGACATTGCATAGGACGATGACACGGCTTTAGATCTTTCCTTCAAGCATCTTACATTCAGCCCATGGCTACTCCCAGTCACGGCAGGCTCCTTGAAATGCTTAGCCCTTTAGGAGCCACCACAATTTCTACCTGCTTCAGGCCAAGCCACCTTAAAGTCTTCACAGGGTGGGGGAGGGAGGAAAAAAACAAAGACATTACTTCATTTCAAAACAGCTAAGGAGGAGAAAGAAGGAGGAAATTGATCCACTGATGATGGAACTCTGAAGATTCCAGGGAATGGAAGCAGTAGGCAGCTTTCCATCTGGAAGTGACTACCTTATTTCCATCGGATTCTTGCAACAGGTTCAAACAAACATGCCCAGCTGGGCAGTACTCAAAGGGTGAGGATTTCTCCATTCCTTGGCAAGCCCAGGAGGGAGGACTTAGGGGCCCAGGGATGGCTGCTGAGAAAACCTCTTTTGTCCCCTGGCTGAGTCAGTGGGGGCCGAGCAAGCTTAATCAAGGGGCCAGCTAGTTCCCTACTTTCTATCATGGGACTGAAAAGTCAAAAAACGTTATTTCACCCCCTTCCCCTTTTACTAAATGAGGAAAGAAAACCACAAGGTTTTAATAAGGAGTGTTTACCTCTGTTACCCCCATTAACAGGTGCTTCTAATCCAAGACATGTTTTTTATTACTGCCGAAAAACTATTTTTAAATGGCCATAACCTTCTTTAGAAGTCTCCCAGGGATAGGAAAAATTAAGCCAGAGTGGGCATGACAAGGAAACTCGGTATTTTATCTGACTCTGAGAGCCTGTTAGCTTCTCTACCCAGCATCTTTTGCCTTGTTTTGGCTCCCAAGACACATCGGGTTTGTAGCCAAACCCCTCCAAAGACCAGAAATTGAAGAGGATTTGACAGCCTGCCAATGAGAGGCAGCCTGCACTCACAGCCCTGCCAGGGGTGGAGGCAGGTGGGAAAAGCCCCATCTAGGGACAATGACTTTGCTCAGGGATCCCTCAGGGACTTATTGCTCTTTTTCATTCTGCTGTAGATTTACCATTCCAAAGAAGTTTAAGGTAAAAATTCCTTTCCACATCATTTCACGGTTGGGGGGATCTGGATTACAATAAAATGATGGGCGTACAAAGTAATGATTAGAAGCAAGTCTTCTACCTGCCTCTTCCACACCTTCTGGAAGACGTGACCTTGGGCAAGTGACCTCCATTTCCCCACCAGTAAAAGGAGGGAGTTGGAACTAGAACACAGGTGCACAGATTTAGAGCAGAAAGGGACCTCCCAAGTCCACCTAGTCCAATCCCATTATATAGACGAAGAAACTGAGGTCTGAAGGAGGGATCTGCCCAAGGTCATACGGGCAAAGTGACAGAGGAGGGGATTTTTGGCCCAGATCTTCTCTCTAAAGCCCCCTCCTGCAAAAACGCATTCACCAAGGACAAGAAACCAGACTCCTCAGGCTCACCCCCCACCCACCCCAGAGAAGAAATGGCTTTTCTAAAAAGTTTAAAAAGCCTTTAAAATTCCCAGCTTAATTTACAGGTTTGTGAAATGCCTGGAAGACCACAGGCATGGTGGGCTTTATCCCCTGGCTATTGGCTGTAAGCAAAACTGACCATTTCTTACAGGATTTTAGGGGCATTTGGGCCTTAATCCTGGATAAACTCTAGCCTAATGGAAAGATGGTTGTTTGCTTGTTGTTAGGGGAGTATGGGTCATTGGAAGGGGCCTGGGCATCCAGACATGTGATTTCATCATTTTCTGGCACTTCTAGTGTGGAAACCCCCTCCACTGATGCAGATGGGCAACTCCTTTGCAGCTTTAAAGATAGAATTACCGGCACAAGGGCATGGTGAATCGACTTGCCTGATATAGGTCAGAAGCAAGTCTTGAACCCGGGCCTCTCAGGCCCTCTATCCCTTACATCAGCTCTGGCTGCATAGAGCTAGGGAAAGCTCTGTGACAGTGAATGACTCTTACCCCTTCCCCTGGGTTCCACCATCCCCTCCTGCTGTAGGGGCCCTGGGTCAGAATGAGCCGGGAGGGGAGGAACAGTCCCGATTCACACACTTCGATGGCGCTTCAGGCCTTGAAAAGCTCTTTGTGGGTGAAGGGGAAGGAAAAACTCAGAAAGAAATCTGCGGGGCACCATTTTCCCTTTAAAAGTATCTGGAGGGGGACAGCTAGGTGGCCCAGTGGATAGAGCACTGGCCTTGGAGTCAGGAGGACCTAAGTTCAAATCCAGCCTCGGACACTTGACACTTACTAGCTATGTGACCCTGGGCAAGTCACTTAACCCCAACTGCCTTTCAAAAAAAAAAAAAAGTAAAAGTATCCGGAAAGAGACTACGGTCCGTGGAGGCCTACGGCAATTACAAGCGACAAATAGCCAAATCTGAAGGTTCCCCTGATGACTGCATACATCTGACTATGATCCCATTGTGGGGGAGTGGAATGGGTTCTGGCCTTCTAGACAGAAGAGACCTGGGTTCAAATCCTGACTGTAACCCTGGCTGCATGACCTTGGCCAAGCTGTTTAAACTCTCTGTGCCTCAGGGTCTCCATCTGAAAAATGAAGGGGGTTGAAATCGATGACTTCTATGGTCCCTTCCAGACCTAAACTTATCATCCTCCCAAGGGCGAGGCCAGTGCATCCGTCCCTCCACCCTGCTCCCCTCCAACACATGCCACAGGAGATGTATAACACTGGGCCAGATGGCTGTACTTCCTTGGGACCCCCACTGGCTGAGAAGACAATGAATTTTTTTTAGATTCCCCAAATCCAGAGGCTTGAAAATGATGACTCCACATACCTAGAAAGCAGCTAGGTGGCGCAGGGGATAGAGTGCCGGGCCTGGAGGCAGGAAGATTTGAATTCAAATCCAGCCTCCAGTACTTATTAGCAAATCACTTAACCTGTCTGCCTCAGTTTTCTCAACTGGAAAACAGAGATCATAATAGCACCTACCTCCCAACAGTCTGTCTCAGTGTCAGGAACAGAGGGAAGGAGAGAGTAAAGGTTTTAAATAGTGACTATCTCAGGGACAGGGAAGCCCTCCCCCCCAAACACCCCCACCTTGGAACCCCCTGAGTGCTAGTTTTCTTCAGCTGAGAAGTAAAGAAGAGGCAGCTAGGTAGCACCACAGTACTGGGAACACTGGGCGTAGAGTCAGGAAGACCTAAGTTCAAATCTGGCCTCAGACATTTCCTAGCTGGGTGACCCTGGGCAAGTCACTTAACCTGTTTCCTCATAACCATAATTCCAGAGGACTAATGATGAAACATGCTATCTACCTCCTAATGAGGGACTCAGAGGACAAACTGGGGATATGTAGATAGACAGACAGACAGATAAAATATACAGACAGATAAAATTAACTAGATATAGAGAGAGATAGAGGTAGATACAGACAAAACAGAGATAAAGATAGATATACCTATAGCTATAAATATACATATTTATATGTTTAGATGCATATGCATGTATTTACATATTTTTCTTTTAGATATGACAAATATAGACATTTGTTTTGCTCAAATATACATGTTTGTTAACAGGGGCTTTAGCCTTTCATTCTCAACAGTGGGGGTACAGGAGAGGGAGTTAAGGGGAAGAGGGATGGAAGGGAGAGAGGGCAAATTTTTGCTGATTGAAAAACATAAAATTTAATTTTAAAAAATAGAGGTAAAGGAAAGACTGAGTAACTAAGTGGTGAAGTAGACAGAGCACTGGACTGAAGTCAGGAAGATTCATATGCTTGAGTTCAAATCTGGCCTCAGACATTTACTAACTGGGTGACCCTGGGCTTTACCCTGTTTGTCTCAGTTTCCTCATCCGCAAAATGAGCTGGAGAAGGAAATGGCAAAGCACTCTGGTATCTTTGCCAAGAAAACCCCAAATGGGGTCATGAAGAGTCAGACAGGACTGAAAAAAGACTGAACAACAGAAAAAGGAGACAGTGATACTACTATTTGCCAACCTCACTAACTGAGGGGGCGCTTGACCCTCAGGCCCATGGAGACGGGGAGCCACGAAGGCAGAGCTCAGGCAACTTCAGGTGTGCCGATCACCACCTGTGTTACCTGTGGGCAAGTCACTCCCACTTGGTCCAAAGCCTTCTGTTGGGATGACTGACTGAGAAGTGTCATCACTTCATTAAGGTATCAGCCTAAAATGGCACAGGCAGAGGGTTAGACGAGACGGACACTAAGGACCATCCCAGCTGAAAAGTCTATGCACTCGAAGAGCAGAAAGCCTCACAGACCAGGACTGGGGGGCCACACAGCTGGGTTCCCCTGCTGATACTGATGCAAAGCAGCAGGAAAAAAGCCAAGAGGACTAGTCTGTGCCTCAGTTTCCTAGGGGGTTCCTTTAATGAGTGAGAAGCAGGAAGGCCCAGGTTGCCCCGTTTCCTCTGGGTCACTTCCATATTGACAAGGGGGATTTTGCTGCCTAGATGAACAGAAACTCTGGAGGAGGGAGGTGCTGACTGGGCCTGAGCTCAAGTGGACATCCCAGGCAACCTTCATTAAGAGACAGGGATAGGGAGGCTGGTCAGGACAACAGAGGGCACCTGAAGGTGACTCCTCCCACACAACTGCCCCCAGGAGCCTAATCCATTCCCTTCTGAGTGTCTGAAGCCAGAGCCCGAGGCCCTGCCCCAAGAAGAGAGAGAGAGAAAGAGGGCTCCTTACCCGCGTCCTGTCCTCTATCTCATGGATGCGTAGCTGCATGGGCACATTAAAGCTATGCAGGATGTTTCCACCAAACACCAGGGAGTCTACGGGCGTGTAGACAGCATGGATCCAGCCTAAAGGAGAGGGGGAGTGCAGTGAGCTCACACAGATTTAGAACAGGAAGGGGAGGGGTCTCCAAGGCCTCCTAGGAAAACCCTCTCATTTCCCAGAGGAGAGAACTGAGGCTCAGAGAATTTAAACCCAGGGCCACACAGCAAAGAAGCCGCCCGGATTGAGATTTGAACCTAGAGCTTCCTGACTCCACCTCTAGCCCCCACCCACTAAAGCAGCTATTCCCAACCTTTTTGTTCTCAAGACCCCTCCCACCCACTCCCAGGGCATGGGATCTCCAGTCAGGAAGACTTATCTTCTCAAGTTCAAATCCAGCCTCAGACACTTAATAGCTGTGTGACCCTGAGCAGATCACATAACTCTGTTTGCCTCAGTTTCCTCATCTATAAAATGAGTTGGAAAAGGAAATGGCAAAACCACTCCAGTATCTTTGCCAAGAAAACCATGAAGAGTCAGACATGACTGAAAAACAACTGTAAACACACACTCCCAAAGAGATTGTGTTTATGTGGGTCATATCCACCCGGTGTGCCAGAGCCAGCCCAAGAGAGAAGGATGTTAAATGTTCAGTGTGGGCATTTATACCTTGGAAGTCAGCAAATGCTACAAATCAGGGTTTAATATATGGTTCTGCTGATTGTTTAGACTTAAGAAAGTGATGGGGAAAATGATAATAATGGAAATTAAATTTAAAAGTGTGCTGGGGACACATTTTTCCCCCCAGAGGCAGTTGTTTGTTAAACATTAACCGCACAGATCTAGCTATCTATCAAGATTTACCATATCAGAAATTAAAACATCCTGATGTTGTCACAAAAATAATTTTAACTTGACAGGCCACCCTCTGAAAAGGTCCCCGAATGTCCAGGGGCCCTCACAGCGCATTCTGAACCACTGCGCTGGAGCAAACAGGAGGCTCCCTTTGATGCCCCCTGGTTGGCATGGAGATGTTCAGGTGAAGCAAAGAAAGACCGACTGAAGCAGGCGGAGAGACAGAGAAAGACAAAGAGGAACAAGAAAGAGGACTGAGACAGAAACAGGAGGGGGAGGGGTGGAGAGGGGAAGAGGGGAGGAGGGGGAGGGATGGAGAGGGAAGAGGGAGGAAGGGAGGGGAAAGAAGAAGGGAAGAAGGGGGGGGAGGAAGGAGGAGGAGAGGGTAGGGATGGAGCGGGGAAGGGGAGGAGGGGAGGGATGGAGAGGGGAAGGGGAGGAGAGGGAGGGGGAACGAGGAGGAGGGAGGAGAGGGAGAGATGGAAGGGAAAGGGGAGGGGGGGAAGAGGAGGGGAAAGGAAGGGGAGGGAGGGATGCGGAGGGGGAGGAAGAGAGAGGAAAGGAAGGGAGGGGGGAAGGGAGGAGGGAGGGATGGAGAGGGGAAGGGGAGGAGGGGAGGGATGGAGAGGGGAAGGGGGAGGAGGGGAGGGATGGAGAGGGGAAGGGGAAGAGAGGGGGGTAACGAGGAGGAGGGAGGGGAGGAGGGAGAGATGGAAGGGAAAGGGGGAGGGGGGAAGAGGAGGGGAAAGGAAGGGGAGGGGAAGGAGGGAGGGAGGGATGCAGAGGGGGAGGAAGAGGAGAGGAAAGGAAGGGGAGGGGGGAAGGGAGGAGGGAGGGATGGAGAGGGGAGGGAGAAGGGAGAGGAAGGGGAAGAGGGAAAGAGAGGGAAAGGGAAAGGAAAGGATGGAAGGAGAGGGGGAGGAAAGGGGAGGGGGAGGGATGGAAGGGGAAGGAGGCAGGAGGGGAAAGGAGTAGGAAGGGGGGAGGGAGAAGGATGGAGGGAGGAGAGTAGAAGGGGGAGAGAGAGGGAGAGGGAGAGAGGGGGAGAGGGAAAGAAGAGAGGAGAGAAGGAAAGAGGGAGAGAGATGATCCAGGCATTGTCTCTGGGAGGTAGAGAAAGAAAATCTACACACACACACACACACACACACACACACACACGCACGCACACGCACACACACGCATGCACACACATCCCACCCCAGAAAGGTACTGGCTCCGTCCCACACCACTGCTACTCTTCCTCAGTCCCAAGCCCCCCTCAAAGTCTCTCAGGCAGAGTTAGCGTCCCAAAAGCCAGGCCAGTTGGCAGGCCCCAGCCCTGGTCCAGCTCCCCTGCCCCATCAGCCTAAATGACAAGCACTTTTCTTATACACAAAGAGCCCAGGGAGGGCCCCAGACCCAGGGGAACACAGAGGGGAGACAGCGATGTGTCTGACATTCCTGGAAAATGGGAGCAGAGTTTCCTAAACATGCATGGTATTGAACAGCACAGCATCTGTCCAGCGCTTTGCAAACCGTCAAGTGCTCTACAAATGCAGGGACCATTACTGTCTGGATGCACACCCCCTATGGGCCAAGTGCACCCTCGATGATAACAATGACAATGACTGACACTGACCCAGCGCTCCAAAGTCTGCAAACCGCTTTACAGACCCAGCCTCATGGGAGCCCCTGGATGACCCCATGGTGGTATGTGCTTCCAGCACTATTGCCCCCCTTTTGTAGATGAGGAAACTGAGGCTCACAAAGGGGAATAACTTTGCCACAGACCTAGCTCCAGGAGGCAGGATTTGAACCTAGGCCCTGGACACTTGCCTCTAAATATCTACCTTGTGGGCCTCAGACACTTGGTGCTTACTAGCTTGTGTAACCCTAGGCAAGTTACTTAATTAACCCAGATTGGCTCACCAAAAAAAATAAAAAATGAAAAAAAAAAGGCAATAAATAAATATCTGTCTTGCCTTTAAGATTTGCTTTTCTTCTCCTTTCCAAGAGCTAAATCCTAGCCTGTCTTCTCAGTAACTACGGTTTTTGTTTCTCCCAAGGGGACTGGAAGCCTGAGTTATTCTTAGTAGCACTGTTAATACCATCCTCAGCACCACTGCTTCTAAACAGCGTTTCCTGATGTCCATGTCCCCGGCCACTGAGTCCCACTCGGAATAAGAGTTCTTGGGTTCTCTCTCTGTCTCTGACTCACCCAAGCTGACAGCGCCGACCAGGACGAAAAAAAGGTCTCTGCGGGCTTGGCCGAAGCGGCCAAGCCACCAGAGGACTCAGGGTCCAGAGGCCCCAGCTCTAAATGCTGGGCAATTAACTTCCCCCTCTCTGGGCCTCTGTTGCCCCTCTCCCCACCTGTAAAATGGGGACGATGATCCCCATGCAAACACACAACTGTGAGAGGAAAAACGGGCTCATCAGTGAATGAGGGACAAGACGTGTGACTTCATCGGTATGAGGACTTCCAGGTGAGGGAGCTCCGTCTACCGGTGCAGCTCCGCACCTTCCCTGCCTCGAGCAACGAGACCTGCCCGAGATCATACAGCTAGAACGTTTACCAGGTGAGACTTGAACCCAGGGTCTCCTGACTCCTGCTCCTACCCACCAACTCCAAGCTGCCTCTCAGAACAGGACATTTACAGAGCTTGGCTCCACTGGAGAACTGAGAAAATACACTTCCCTACCCCCTCTGGGGAGGCAATCACAACAATAATCATAATAATAACTAGTATTCATGTAGCACCTGCTATGTGCCAGGCACCGTGCTAAGTGCTTTACGAATACAAGTTCCTTTGAGCCTCACAACCACCTCAGGAGGTAGGTGCTGTTATTATCCCCATTTTACAGATGAGGAAACTGAGGCAGAAAGAGGTGGCGTGACTTGGTCAGGGTCACACACCTACTAAGCGCCTGAGGCTGGATTTGAACTTGGGTCTTCCTGACTCCAGGCTTAGCGCTTTGTGCACTATGGCGCCCCCTAGCTAGTTTCTTTACTGGAAGTTCCTTACACTGATGAAATCACTGGTCTGGGCAAAGATCAAAAAACCAAGAAGTGAAACAGACAAGGAAGTGGGAGGAGTCCTAGGGCCACAGATCTCAACCAGAAAGGTTCCTCAGAGGCCATGTCATAAGAGCATGGCCATACTTTACAGATGAGGAAACTGAGGCAAGAAAGCGGAAGTTACTTGTTCAAGGTCTCAAAGGTTAGGAAGTAGCAGATTTAAGATTCAAACCCTGGTCTTTTGGCCTTTGGAGTGTTTTTCACTGTATCATACTCAAAAGTGGAAAGATGGAGGGAGGGAGAGAAGAAGGAAGGAAAGAGAGAAAGAAAGAAAAAAGGAAGGGAGAGAGGAAGGAAGGAAGGAAGGAAGGAAGGAAGGAAGGAAGGAAGGAAGGAAGGAAGGAAGGAAGGAAGGAAGGAAGGAAAGGGGGAAGGAGGGAGGGATGGAAGGAGGGAGGGATGGAAGGGAAGAAGGGAGGGAGGGAGGGAGAGAGAAAGGAAGAGAAGGAGGGATGGGAGGGAAGGAACAATGCTGAAGAAGCCCATTCCAGGCTCCTGGCTTTCCTGGAACAATGCTGAAGAAGCCCATTCCAGGCTCCTGGCTTTCCTCCTCTCTCCCCCCACAAGCCCCAGCCTACAGAGCCTGGAATAGCCTGCCCAGCTCCATGGAGGCTCCCTAGCTGGGTTCCAATCCCTGAACCTGCCCTCCCCCAGTCCCTACCATCTGCTCCAATGTCTAAATGTTGTTGTCACTGGGACGAAACCCATAAGGTGACGTGAATAACGCCGAAGGTTTCCCGAGCCATTCACAAAAAGCCTTCCCCTGCCCCAGCATCTCATTACACCCAGGAGTGCCAGAGAACAGGTGTTTCAACACCGGCAGGCTGGTTACCGATTTCAGGAGGTTGGCAAATGCCTCCTGCTTCCGGACTGGGGCCATCATACATCTGGCAGCCAGAACCCCACGGCACCCTGAGGCAAACCGAGCCGGGAAAGACAGGAGGGGAACAGATGTCCCACACCAGCAGCTGGGGGGAGAGGGGATCCACCTAGAGCCAAGGCAGTGGGGAAAAAAGGGTCAGGACAGAGTGTGGGGTCACCTTCCTCATACCCCATAGGGAGCAGAAAATGGAGCAGGGAAGAAACTGCATGCCTGAGTCCCCTGGAGAAAAGATCATGATTCAGTGGAAAGGACGCTGGCTCTAGGGAGTCACAGGAGCCAAGTTCTAATCCACACTCTGATGCTTACTACCGGCGTGACCTTGGGCAAGTCACTTCTCTGGGCTTCAGTTTGCTCACCTGTAAAATGGCGGCTTTTGACGCACTTTCTAGGTCTACACTCTAGATGTAAGCTCTTAGGTCTTCAGGCAACAGATTATTGGCCCATTTTACACATGTGAAAACTGAGGTTCAAAGAGAGAAAGGAACTGAGTTGGTGCCTGACACAAATAAATGCTTTCTGACTGGATGGACAGATGGATGGATCAATGCAGAGAGGCAGAGAGGGACCGCGCCAAAGCCAGAACCCCAGCCTCCTGGACCAAGCACCCAGCACCCAGGGAGACCTTGGGGATCAAGAATAGGCAGCACTTTTTCTCATAAGAGATAAAATCACTGTAACATATTCAACGCCATGTGCCCGCGTCTCTGAGAGGTGAGGAGGGCTAGGCTTTATTCACCCCATTTTCCACATGGAGACACAGAGGGCCAGGGTGGTGAACTTCCGCTGGCCTCCAGAGGGCACATGCCAACAATCCCAGGGTCCAGATCTATGTCCATGGCGGGCACAGACACTGGGCAGGATGCCAAGAGGATCGTTACAGGTCTCCCCAGGTCTCCAGGTCCACTCCCTTCCGACTGAGGAGCAGACTCAAACCCTCTTCCGTCTCCCCTTATCTGCAGCCTTTCTATGGCACGAAAATCAACAGTTCCTTGGGTCCCTGCCCATCTGGCATCTGACCCACTGCAAAACTCAAGCCAGTTTGCCCTGGTCCTGGCTTTCTCTGGCAGAGAAACGCGCCTCTCTGTGCTCCTTCCGCAACATCGCTTCTAACCTGGACATGGCTTATCACCCAAATGCAGCTCCCCCCAGCCTCTATACCTGTACCTTGACCCAAAGCAAGGGGGGTTGGGGGAAGCATGCCCACTCTGCCTAATGACCAGAAAGAGGAAGTGCCAATATTTGTTCTAACTCAGGAAAAGGGAGGAAGATCAAAGCTTGTCTGCTCCAGGCCACAGAATCACAGAATACTGGAAGAATCCTGAAATCAGAAAACATCAGAGCAGGGAAGGTGCTTAGAATTAGAAGCGGAACGTTAGGACACGGAGTGTCAGAACATAGGAGGGGCCTTAGAACACAGAATGTCAGGGCTGGGGGAGGGCCATTAGAACAGTGTCAGAACTGGGAGGGGCCTGAGAACAGGTAATATAGAGCTGAGAGGGTCCTTAGAATACAGAATATCAGGGATGGGAGGAGCCTGAGAACAGAGAATGTTAGAGTTGGGAGGAATAAATAAATAAATAAATGACTGAAGGACTGGATAGATAGATAGATAGATAGATAGATAGATAGATAGATAGATAGATAGATAGATAGATAGACAGACAGACAGACAGACAGATAGATAAGTAGAGCTGGGAGGGGCCTGAGAACAGAGAATGTCAGAGCTGGGAGGCTCTTTAGAACACAGAATGTCAGAGCTAGGACGGGCCTGAGAACAGAGATTGTTAGAGCTGGGAGGGTCCTTAGAATACAGAATTTCAGGGATGGGAAGGGCCTGAGAATAGAGAATGTTAGAGTTGGGAGGAAAAACAAACAAACAAATAAATAAATGACTAAATGACTAGATAGATAGATAGATAGATAGATAGATAGATAGATAAAGTAGAGCTGCAAGGGGCCTGAGAACAGGAAATATCAGAGCTGGGAGGATCCTTAGAACACAGAATGTCAGAGATGGGAGGGGCCTGACAACAGAGAATGTCACAGCTGGAAGGCTCCTTAGAACAGGGAATATCAGAGTTAGGAAGGACTTTAGAACATGAAATGTCAGAGCTGGGAGGCTCCTTAGAACACAGAATGTCAGAGCTAGGAAAGTCCTTAGAACAGAGTTAGGAAGGACTTTAGAACATGAAATGTCAGAGCGGGGAGGTCCCTTAGAACATTACAGCTTGGAAGAACCTTAGAGATCATTTAATCCAGCTTCCCCTGTTTTACAGGAGGACCTTAAAAGAGAGAGAAGATGCCATTTGCCCAAGAACATTTAACAACCCTGGCAGGGCCACACCTAAAAGTGGGCTTTCTGAGCACCCCCAGGAACTGCCCTTTCACAGACATCTAGTGTCAGATACTTGAAGAATATCGGTCCCAGAACGACCTTTAGAATCTACCACCAGGGGACAACAGATGGTTTGAACTCCCCCACTGGGAGGCCCCTTCCTTATGGCTTGGGCCCTGGCCCCAGAAGCCCCTCCTCATCCCCTCAATAGCCTTCAACGACCAACCAGGCCTCAGGACCAAGCTGGGTGACCACCCATCACTACTCATCAAAGTGGTGACAGAGAGTAAGACTTCACTACTACACCATGTAACACAATGCTATCAACATTCCCTGAAAGTCAGCCTGAGCCCCAGGCACCAACCTGACCATCTAAATGCCCCCCAGCCATAGCTCAGACAAGCTGCGCAGTGACCCACAGCCAGCCCAGGGACTGTTGGAAACCCAACCCTCTACCTCTTGAGCCACAGTCTCAGAACTGGAAAGGCCCTTTGGAGGCCCCCATTCCAACCTCCTTCTCTATGCAGAAATCCCCTCGATATCATCCCGGCAGGTTATCCGACCTCCCTCTGCTTAACTACCTCTAATGACACGGGGCTCACTGTCAACAGGGCAAGCCCATTCCAAGTAGAGCTACTGGACAGCACTTAATGAGAAGACTTCTCAACACTGAACTGAATTCTGCCCAGACAGAACTTCAAGGCCAAGCAGAGCAAATCTATATAGACCCCCTCTTCCACGTGGCGGTCCTTGAGGTCCAAGTGGTATACTGGGTTTCAATTAGCTTTCAAACACAAACTATTTGAAATTATACTTATGTAAACTATGACGATTCTATAAAAATACTTATTCCAGCCCCGTGTGAATCTGAATAATGCGACCACTTCACGGGCTCATAATTCATACCAGGAGTGGGGAACCTGGGGCCTCGAGGCCATACGAGGCCTTCCCAGTCCTCAAGCAAGGCCTTCAGACTGAATCCAAACTTCCCAGAACAAATATCCTTGGTAAAAGGATTTGCTCTGGAAAACCTGGACTCAGTCAAGAGGCCACACCCAAGGACCTGGGAGGCCTGCAGGTTCCCCAGCCCTGATTCATACCAACAAGGACATGGTTGTCATATGTTTGGAACAGTGAGGTGATGCCTCTGTGACTGTAAGACAGTTCTATCCTCTCTTCTAGGAAATGAAGAAAGGGTTAAAAATCCTAACTCTGAGACTTAACCATGTGACCTTAGACCAGTCCCTGAACCCTGGGTCCCATCCCCTCTGTTGTAGAAGAGGGGAGGAGATTAGAGGATCTCTAAGCTCCCAAACCCTCTGATAGTGCCCACTGCTCTATGCCCCCTCCTCTCCTCCCTTCACTATGACCTTAGGACACCCAGAGGCAGTCACCCCCTCTTAGAATGGGCACATCAGGACTTAGGGCCGGTGCTAAGCCAGAGGCTGAAGGTGCTAGTCTCTGCCCCACAAACCTCTTATCTTCTGTGAGAAGACAATAAGGTCACAGATTAAAAAAAAAATACAAGATCTATAGGGAAAAAAGAGATAGGGCCGGTGAGGGTAATGCAAAATTAGGAAGGCCTGAGGCCTGCTTCTCACACACACCAAGACACAGGACTGATCAGTAGTGTGAGAGGAAGCTGCCACACTGGGAGTCGTGTCTGTCCTGTTCCCCCCACCCCCAACCTTCCTGCTCCTCTCCATACCACCCCCTGGGGCTGACTTCTCTTAATTATGCCTAAGGTCCCTTTAATAGCCACTACTGACTCATACAGTGCTCAGGTCTTATCACATGAATTACTCGTTAAGACGCGTCTTTCCCATCCTATATCTGTACAGATGGTATGATTGGGTTTGTTTTTTTAATGTTTCTTGTCACTAAACTCCATCGTATTCCACAGAAGGAAGCTGCCTCACATTGTCCTTCCACAATCCCCCTCATCTTTGCTTCCAGACTGCCCTGGGACAGCTCTTGACACTCTCCTCAGTCTGGGGTCCCAACTACAGAGCAGCCTACCTTGTGGACCATAGCATCTTCATGGGCTCTGACCAAGTCAGGACCATTCGGCCTGCCCTGGTCCACTTGTCATAACAGAAATCGAGGGATGGAAGGGACCAATCCTTTCTATTTTAAGAAAGGGAAACTGAGGGAGACTGGAGAAGGGAAATGATATGCACAGTCACACGAGTGGCAAAGACGGGGTTTAAACCCTGATCCTACTGCGGCCTCACCACCTCCCAGCGCCGAGTCAGACCAGGCTCCAGGAGAAGAGTAAAAGGGGAAGCTAGGTGGTACAGAGGACAGAGCACCGGCCCTGAAGTTAGGAGGACCTGAGTTCAAATCCAGCCTCAGACCAAACACTTGACACTTACTAGCGGTGTGACCCTGGGCAAGTCACTTAACCCAAACTGCCTAAAAAAAAAAGAAAGAAAAGAATAAAAGGGAAACAGAATCCCCACCCCTGAAAAAAAGACCCACATCCGACAGAAAGCCCTCCTAGACAAAAGGGGGTCCCAAAGGCATGAGCAGTATATTAAGTGATGTTCATCCAGGACCCTCCAAGAAAGTAAGTCTAAGAAGCTGCGCTATTCTAAGAGACGCACCTCTCCAGCAAGTAACCAGGAGAGGCAGCCAGTGGGCCAAGAGGTCATTTCAATTTTTTTCCCCTTTTTTCCTTTTTTTTTTACGCAATTTGGGTTAAGTGACTTGCCCAGGGTCACACAGCTAGTAGGTGTCAAGTGTTTGGTCTGAGCCAAGAGGTCATTCCAAAGGAAGGAGATGGCCAGCACAGAAGCGTCGGCCTCAGCTCCCAAGACGCCGCCGGCACTTACCGGAGGGGATAAAGAACGTGTAGCCCTGGGTCAGCTCAATTCTTTGGCACTGCTGGACTCGGTCTCCCAGGAAGATGTCACTCTGCTTCCCTGAGAGCACCCACTCTTCATAGAGTTCCAAATTGTGCAAGGTGGGGGGGATCAGCCAGAAGATCTGAGAAAAGAAACCGAATCCATCACAGCCCTGCCTGACCCAAAGCTGGGGCCTCCCACCATCTCCACTTTCCAGGGCGTGGACACGGGTGGAGATTTGGGTGGAAGAGACTGGGATCTGCTTGGAAAGGAGTGACCCAAGCTAGGTAGCTGCCTGTAGTAGCCGGTTGTGCTGAAAGACCTGGGTTCAAATCCCACCTTGGCACCAACTCACCAAGTCTCAGTGTCCCCAGCTGCAAATGAAGCCCTCTGTCATCCTATGACCCATATATGACACTCCATGAATTCTCCCATGGGCCCTCTAAAGGGCTATGGCAGCTGGCACTGATGGTGCAGGAAGACCCGAGTTCAAATCTAGCCTGTGACAATTCCTAAAGGTGTGAACCTGGGTGAGTCATTGTCTGCCTCAGTTTCCTCATCTGTAAAACAGGGATAATAATACCACCTACCTCCCAGGCTTATTGTGAAGATCAACTGATATAATATTTGTAAGTGCTTGGCACACAGAAGGCACTTAATAAACGTTTATTTCCTTTCTCCCAACTCTAAATCTACAATCCTTAATAGAAGGGACCATTTGCTTTTGCCTTTTTATCCCTAGCACAGTGGCAGGCACATAGCAGGTGATTAAAAATGATTGTTGGGGCAGCTAGGTGGCGCCGTGGAGAGAGCACCAGCCCTGGAGTCAGGAGGTCCTGAGTTTAAATCTGGTCTCAGACCAGACACTTGACACTTACTAGCTATGTGACCCTGTACAAGTCACTTAACCCCAATTGCCTTGCCCAAAAAAAAAAAAAAAGATTGTTTTGATGATCTCATCCGAGCCTGGAAATTACCCCAGGAGGTAAAGGCCTTGGGTTTTATTATCTCCATTTTATAGATGCGGAACCTGAAGCTTAGAGTGGTTAAATGCTTGACCCAATAATTAGGATTCCATGGCAGGATTGGAACTCAGGGCTCACCCGCTCCTAATTCCAGACCTACTGCAAACTGCCTCTCTAATCAACTGGGGCTCCTGCAGGTCTGAAATCCCAGGGCTTCCCTGTTCTGGATTCTGCCCCAAGATGAAGGGGCTCCCGTGGGACCCAATCCCCACTGGTTTGTCAGTGTTAAGTGGGGGGGGCACTCTTCAAGCAGGAGGGGGAGGCCAGGAAATTTCAGAAGATACAAAAATTAAAAATAAAATAAAACAAATCCCCACCTTCTATTTGATCAGTAGGAGGAAAAACATCTGGAAGAGAGATTGTAGCAAGACTGTATGCAAAACACACACACACACACACACACACACACACACACACTCTCTCTCTCTCTCTCTCTCTCTCTGTCTCTCTCTCTCTCTCTCTTTCTCTCTTCTCTCTCCTCTATCTCTCTCTTCCCTCTTTCTCTCCCTTCTTTCTCCCTCTCTCCTCTCTCTCTCCTCTTCTCTCTCTCCCTCTCTCTCTCCTCTCTCTCTTTCTCTCTTCTCTCTCCTCTCTCTTCTCTTTCTCTCTTCTTTCTCCCTCTCTCCTCTCCCTGTCTCCTCTCTCTCTCCTCTTCTCTCTCTCTCCCCCTTTCTCCCTCCCTCTCCTTCCTCTCTTCTCTCTCTTCTCTCTCTCCTCTTTCTCTCCCTCTCTCTCTCCTCTCTTTCTCTCTTCTCTCTCCTCTCTCTTCCCTTTCTCTCTCTTCTTTCTCCCTCTCTCCTCTCTCTCTCCTTCTCTCTCTCCTCTCCTCTCCCCTCTCTCCTCTCTCTCTCTCTCTCCTCTTCTCTCTCTCCCTCTCTCCTCTCTCTCTCTCTTCTCTCTCCTCTATCTCTCTTCTCTCTTTCTCTCTTCTTTCTCCCTCTCTCCTCTCTCTCTCTCCTTCTCTCTCTCCTTCTCTCTCTCACCTCTCCTCTCCCTGTCTCTCTCCTCTCTCCTCTCTCTCTCTCTCTCTCTCTCTCTCTCTCTCTCTCTCTCTCTCTCTCTCTCTCTCTCTCTCACAAAGACAGACAACACCTAGCCCATTAGGACAAGGGACCCAGAAGCCAAAGCAAACCCATAAAGATACGTCCACCCCAATGTAAAAAACAGACAGAAGGTACCTTAGAATCCAGTCCAACCCCTTCATTTTGTAAATGAAGACAGCGCTCAGAAGTAAAGTGACTCACCCAAGGTCACACATACCCCTAGCAGGTCATAACTCAAACCCAGATCTTCTGAATATAAATTTGGAGTGTTTTCCCTTAACCTCTGACCAAGGGACAACAACAACAGAACAACAATAATAAGAATATGGAGAGAGTTTTAAACTTTAGTAAAATTCTGAGCCTCAATTTCCTCATCCACAAAATGGGGATGAGAGTAGTATCGGCTTCACAGGGTTACTTTGTCTTCTTCAACAGAATGTAAGCAATGTGAAGGCAGGAAATGTTTCCTTTTTTATCCTCATATCCACCATCCATTAGCAAAATGTTTCTCAATAGTGTTTGCTGACTGACTGACTGATTGAAGGCTCAAATGTGATACCATGCATAAAGCACTTTTTGAACCTTAAAGCTCTATTAATTTTCTGATGATGATGATGATGAAAAACTAGCATATATATAGCACTTTAAGGTCTGTAAAATGCTTCACAATTATTTCACTTAATCCTCACAACAACCACAGGAAGGCAGATGCTATTATTATTATTATTCCCATTTTACAGATGAGGAAACTGAGGCAGACAGGCGATGAGTGACTCACTTAGAGTCATACAGCTAGGAAGCATCTAAGGATCTGAACTAGGGTTTTCCTAAATGCAGGCCCAGCAGGAAGCTAGGGTTCAAAGGACTCCAGGTCCAATGGTCTACTCACTGTGCCAAGTAGGCACCTGTTTACCATTATTATTAGATTCTATCATTATAAGTTTCATCTCCTTTGAGCCTGGAGAACTAGGGGTAGCTGACTGGCAAGCGGATAGAGTGCTGGGCCTGAGTTCAAATCTAACCCGAGATCCTTCTTATCTATTGTGACCCTACGCAAGTCACTTAACCTGCCTGCCTCAGTTTCCTCAACTGTAAAATAAGAATAACAATCACACCTACCAGGATTCTTGTTGAGGATCAGATGAGATAATAACTATAATGTGCTTTGCTGATTTTGAAGCACCATATAAATGCTAGCTATTATTAACCCCATTTTACAGATGAGCAATCAGAGGCTGGGCAAAGTCAAGGGGCTTGCCCAGGGTCACTTAGCTAGTATCACCGGTAGGCTCTGGGGCCAGCATTTTATGACCACCCTCAAGCTGCCTCTGGAAACATTCTGCTCACATCCCTCTTCCCTGTGCAAGGTCTGGCTCTGCAAGGGTACTGTCTGAAAGTTATGACAAATGTCCCACAGAGTTGAAGGGTCCCTGTCCTGGGGTTCACAGCAGAGCCAGAAGTGGCCTCAGATGAGGTCTAGAATCCTCAGATGACAAAACAGGACTAGAGAGATGAGGTGACTTAGCCAAGGTCACACAAGGATTAAGCAGCAACATTTGAACTCAGGTCCTCAGACTCAAAAGCCTCTAGCCACAATCTCTCTAGTACTATACAAACTCCGAGCTATGGGTCCTGATTGAACTCCCCAGACCCAGACCCTCTGGTCTCCACCCATCAGCCCCAGGGACTGGGTTGAAGCAGAAGGACACCTTTCAATCCTGAGGGTGGGGCAGGGGTGTGGGAGGCTCCTACAGGGCTGAGAAATGATCTATAACCTGGGTGGAGGAGGGGAAAAGAGGATCATAGGATTAAGAGCTAGAAGGGCCTTGGAGAAATCGTCTCATTCTTACATATGAGTAAACAAATGAGCATCTTGTCCAAGGCCATAGTGTTCACTGGGTCACAGACTCAGAAGTGGAAGGCCCCCTACAGACCATCTAGTCCAACCCCTCATTTTACAGGTGAGTAAACTAAGGCCCCCAAAAAGGAGAAGGTGACCTGACCAAGGCGACATGACATGGGCAGGCAATGACCATGATGGAGCCGGGATTGGAACCCAGGTCTATAAGCTCTAAACCCAGTGTCCTTTCATAACTCCATCCCCCTCTGGATACAGGTATGAGAGGGGACTCTGGCATGAGTCAAGGAGGCACTCACCTTCTTGCCCCGGAAGACGTGGTACCAGACGGATGTACCTCCAAAATCGATGTGGAAGTCCGTGAAACAGCCTTTGACGCTCATCAGACAGTATCTGCAGGCACCCAAAGGGGAGAAAGAAAAGGAACCCTGAGAGCCTGTTTCATGGGGGGCCAAGTCATACCCTGAAGGCACCTCCCTCACCTGAGACATAGGGGAATTGGGGGAGGGGGTAAATAAACATCCAGGTACTGTTGGAGATTCCCTTACGGGAAGGCCCTGGGTTTGGTGACCATGGCCAGGCTGTGACTACCTGCCCCTTCTGGAAGGGGGTGGGGGAGATTATTTTCTTCCATGGACTGGTACCAAACCACAGGCTATTTCATGTGTCATGACCTCCCCACCTCCTGCCTCCACTCTCAGCTCCCAGCCAGGCCCACCTGCAGTTACAGGTACTAGCCTGACCTTTTCCCTCAGCTGGACCCTGGCTGGGCTTACCAGTCAGCTGCCTACTTAGCCTCTGCATCCCTAACACCCAAGACCCCTCCTTCATTCATTTATCCATCCACTGCCTACTGAATACCCACAGAGAACCAAGGAGGAGACAAGGTACCTAAGCTGGCTTCCCTGCCCTCCAGAAGCTCCCAGTCTCCACTGGGGAGAAGACAGGCAGAAAGCTGAGTGACAGTACAAGAGGAGTCACCGTCAGTCCTTGGCAAGGGGTAAGGAGGGCGATGAGGGCTGGGGACTGGAGGGGTCACAAAGGGTCCACAGAGGAACTGGCAGGAACAAGCACAAAATGACTGGGTAGAGAGACACCCAAAGCATGGGATTTAGAGACAGAACAGCCCCAGCCCTTGACTTTATGGATGAAGACAGTGGAGCCCACACAGATAATAAAGTGACTTGGCCACAGTCACACGAGAAGCAGGAGGCAGAGCCAGAACTCCAAAGCTGGTCCTTTCCTCCTCTGCCACCCCTGCCTCAAGGCTACCCCAGCAAAGCCTTCTAGGAGCACCCACTGGTCCTCGCTCCCCCTTTTCCCTGCTCATACCACAACTGCAAAGTGGGAAAAGAAAGGGCTGCCCACCTGGAGAGCATGCCCCCTCCTTCCTGGTCTGCCCTCCTAGGTGGTGGGCCAGGATGAAAAGGAAGAGGGGCAACCCTGGAAGAGCAGCAGCTGAGAGCTCTGTGGAGGGAGCCCAGGCTCCAGACCCTCCAGGTCCCCTCCCCAATTGAGGCACCATCTAGAACGACGCCTCACTGCATGCACCCTGCATGCACACACACACACACACACACACACACACACACACACACACACACACGCGAGCGCGCGCTTACCCCACTGACCTCTTTTCCTCATTCCACATTCCTTTTCCATGGTCTGCGGAAGGGAAGGGCTCAGGGTAAGGGGGAGAGGGCAGCAGCACCTTTGGACCAGACTTGATCCAGAGAAAGGATGGGGAGGGGACTGGAGCTCAAGAGAAAGAGGGAGAGGGGAGCTGTCTCTCTTTCCCTTCCTTGCTCCCCCTTCCCACCCCACGTTCAGGTAGAGGATCATTTGGCAGTATGCAAACGGCGTGCCCCCCATCCCTCCACCCGATAGGCTGGAGGGAACCTTAACCATGTGTCTGCAGGAGGCTAGCAAATCACAGGGCCTTCCCGTACATCAGAGCCTGGCTGCCTAGCAACCCTATCGAGGGCTGTAGTTGACAGAACAGGGCTCAGCGCTGTCCCCCAGACAGGCGGCAGGCACTGGCGCTGCCTTTTTAAAAGTCCTTCTCAGCTGGACAGCCTTGGCTGGGCTGTGGGCACCCTGCGCTGGGGACCAATGGGCTGTCTGCCCCTGCCTTCTCCCTCTGCCCACCCCTGCCGGCCCAGCCTCGGAACTGCTACAGCCTCCATCTCAACCTAACTCTTCCTTCCTCCAAAGAGGGCATGGGGGAGGCAGCATTTGGGAAGCTCAGAACCCACCACACCTCCAAAAACCAAGCAGATTCTTCAAAAGGCATCGTTTCAAAATATTAGTCCTTCCCATCCCCATCTCCCTCAAATTCTCTCCTCTTCCTTTAAAAATTTTGGCTCAGTTCCTACTGAACGTGAATCTTGGGGAAGAAAAGCCTGAGAACCCCGTTCTGGGAAAGAGAACCCCTTTCAGACTACCGTCACCCCCCAAACTTGTTTCATTACTGAAACGGGGCTCAGGTGTCTAGAGACAGCAGGGGAGGGAGCTAGTAAGGAAGTTCCCTCCCCTTCTATAGGGTGATGGACGCCAGCCAAACTTCACCCCCTGCACCCCCAAACACGTCTACTTCCAAAAAACCCGCGGACTCTGGGGTATCCAGTCCTAAGTGTAAGCTTAGTGCCCAAGCTTTCACTACCCCTCCAGTTGGCCACCAGCAACTCAAGCTGAAAGTCAGTTGGGGAAAGGAGGTATAAACTTCTGGGCCACACTCCCCGGGGAGGGGGGATTCCCCCTCTGGAAGAGGGAGAAGGCCTGGGACAGCCTCCTCCCCGTAGGTCACGGACTCGTAGGTCACGGACTCGCGTTGCTGGCAGCAGCCCGGGAGAGACCAAAGGCCCCGGAGGCCCCAGGTCCCCTTCCAGCCTCTCCCCTCCTCCCCACCCCCAAGCTGGACGTTCCAGCCATTGTATGTATCACTGTGGGCTGTCGGGGAAAGAGAGCGGCTTTGGTCAGAACAAGGATGCTGGCCCGGGGGGGGTGCGCTAAGGCCCCTGCCATCTCTCCTGTCCTCTCCTCCCCCCTCCCCTGGCTGCATGGCTCCGGTAAGCTACGCCTTTGCACTGACCTCTGCTGCTTCCTCTTCCAAAGCACACCGCAGTCACATGGGCCACGCACGGCTCTCTGCCACAGCCAACTAATCTCCCCCCTCCTCCCCAGCCTAGCCCCGGCCAGCCCTGGCCGGCTGCTCCTCCCGCGCCCACCCGTGGGCACGGACAGCACACAGCCACACAAGTCTGTCTGTGTCTCTGTCATGTGGGGTCTCCAGACTGGCGGCCCTGCTTAGCTTGGGCTTTTCCAGGGCGGGAGATGGGGACTACAATCCTCCTACAGTCACATACCGGGGGTAGGGGTGGGGGTGCTGAAAGACCCCTGCCCCTGCAAAAAACAAAAACAAAAACAAGAAACTAGGAAGCCCCAAACTGGACGCCTAGAGGGGGTCCCCCTTACAATGAGCCTTAATTGGCTGAGAGCTCGGAGGGTCGGGGCACCTGAGGGCATCAACTTTCCAGTCCTAGCTTAGGGTCCTCCCCCTGGAGGCAGGGAGCACCCGCGTCCGTCCCGCCCCCTTCCCCCCACCCCCGGCCCCGGGCGGCTTCACCCAGTCCCCCAACTTGAGAAAACTACGCCTGCCCGCCTAGCTGGCGGTGGTGAGGACGGGTACTATGGGCGTCCCCTCCAGCAGAGGTCCGGAGCCCGGACCTAGCAGGGGTGACCAGCAGGGAAGGCGCGCAGGCGCGCGCACACATGCATGCATGCATGCACACACACACACACACACATACACACACACGCAAGCACACATACACGCGCGCGCATCTCCTGCCCACACAAAGCCGGGACATATATACACACACACACACACACACACACACACACACACACGCACACTCACGCGCGCGCGCGCACTCACACCCCGAGATCTGCGCACAGAGGCGGGCTAACACACCCGCTCACAGCCGCCACCGCCTCCTCCTCCTCCTCTTCCTCCTCCTCCCCCTACGGGACACAAGCTGAAGACCAGCCCACAACACCCAGCCAGGCATACACACAACACGCGCGCGCACACCCCCACGCAGGCACCTACAGCACTCCAGGGTGAGGGGCCGGGGGCGCACCGAGGCGGGTGGCCGCAGGTCCGCTGCACCCTCCCCAGCCCTGCCCAGCCCGGGCTGGCCCTGCCCACGCCACGCCGCGCCGCCCCGCGCTCGCCAGCTGGGGTTACCCTGGCCTCCTCTGCCCGGCACGCCTCGGCCCCAGCTGCCAGGGAGCCCAGGGGAGCCTGGTCTTCCGTCCCCGCCGAGCGGGCTTCCTTCCTTCCTTCCTCCCGGGAGCTGGGTGCTAGCTGACCGCGCTCATCCCCGCGCTGAAACTGAACACCAGCGCCGAGCCGAGCCGAAGCCCGGGCGGGAGGCGGGCGGGCGGGTGGCTGGCTGCAAGGGGGGGACGCGGCGGCGGCGGCGGCGCCCAGCCCCAGCGATCAGCAGGGGACGCCGCCGCCCACAGCTCGCCCGGCCTGGGAGGGGAGGGGACGCGAGGGGGGAGGGCCACTTCCACTCACTCTCCCAGACCCCCTCCTCCCCCAGCCCATGCACCCAGGCCCGTCGTGGGTCTGGGCAGCTCTCCGCAAAAGTTCATCCTTCTCCGAGGTTGGACGTGCCCCGGTGGCCCAGCCACTGAGTGGCATCGAATGGGGAACATTAGGTAGGGCACCCTTGGAGGGGATGGAAATCTGAGGAGGGGACAGGCAGACAGCCCTGGAAAAGGGGCAGGGGGTCCGGGAAGCCAGAGACCTCGTTCAAAGATTCCAGGATCTAGGAAGCTGGAACTACCCTCTTTTTACAGAGGAAGAAGAAACTGATACCCCAGGGGTTAAATAACTGCCCCGAGGTCAAGTGGAGGAGCAGAAATTTGAACTCAGGCCCTGTGACTCCAAGTTCATCCCTCTTCCCATCTCCCTACTTACTCAGTCACTTCTAAGTGACCTTGGACAAGTCACTCCCCTCTCCATGACCATGTCTTCAAAAGGAAAGACTGGGACTGTCTAAAAGTCCTCACCAGCTCCAATATTCTAGGAATCCTCCAGAATTGCCTTGAATTTCCCCAGGGGAGAAGAGTGCCCTGGTCATTTTAAAAGCTGGAAAGAACTTTAGCAGTCATATAGCCCAAAACCCTTCATTTTGCAGAGCCAAGGGGGAAACTTGAGACCCAAAGAATTCCAGTGCTGGGGGAGGGGAGGGCTGGGTTGAGGAGAGAGGGCCAGGCCAGGATGACACACGAGATCCAGCCCAGGTCTCCTGACTTGGGACAGGTCTACCACAAGTGACCCCTGAACCACTAAGAGTTAACTGGATACTAACCACCATGGC